ACGTAATATCTGCTTATTTCTTGCTGCTATAACTTTAACACTGATATGCCACACAATAAACCATTGTAATAAGCCAATTATTAAATGTCCTTTAATTCAAAAATCAGAAATAAACACGAACAAAAACTTTGGTGTCACCGAAATAATTAGCACCAAAATAATGGCGGCCAATAGATAATCGGCACAGAATACTATGTGTGCTCGATATACTTGTTACGCGTCCTCTCTTTATCACCTAGTCTAAGGTTTTTTACAAACATTACTATGGTACCTACGAAATAAATAAATGAATAATTGCATTAACGAGTGCATTTTAAATCTTGTTGACACGTTGATCTTTTAGGGGTGCGTTCATGACGCTCTACCCGAGTGAAGTTAAGATGGCGTTGGGTAAACTCTCAGAATTAAAATATTATGGCTCCGTCATGAACGCTGTTGGGTAGTAGGCAGGATAGTAGAATGTTTTTTTATTTTGGTTTTTAGGTTAGGTTTGCAATATTTAAAATATTTTGCTAAAGATAGACAATAAATTACGAGTAGTTGCTTCACTAATAATTTATTTTTCAAAGGAAATTATTTTAAAGGAAAACTAATTTTTGTTCTCATGTGAAGTTTCCCTATACTCATAGCCACAATTATTTTTGATTCACGTTCCATACTTATTTTGTTTTAATTATACTTAAGTTATGTATTATAATTCAAAATAAAGAAGTCATATTAATTGCATGATTTGCAATAACAGTCAAATATTAATGAAAAAGTCAGGTTAAGAAGCTTTTTTGTTTTCGCCAAGCATCGGCCATTTTTATCCATTCTGACAGGACATTGGATTGCCTAATTTTACCTACAACCTAACCAACAACATTTTTAGCGATTATTGCGCATGTAGAGTTATTTTTACGCATCTATCTGACCAGCGCGCTGGTCTTACATTCTTTACGCTGCAGCGTAAAGAATGTAAACTCTGTGTTAAATTTTAGCCGACTCGTGAACGACTTCCGCGAGTAAAAGTGTAAACAAGTGATGCATAATGAACGGTTTGAGTCAACTCAGGGTGAATCGAGTAAGCGTCATGAACGTAACCTAGTACTCCGATATTAATTTATTGAATTTGGGATACACATTTAGTGAGTATACAAATATGCATCTTATGTACGGTCTTGCATCTTGTAATTCTTATGAAGCAAGAAGGTTGTATGAAGAAAGATATCCTAATCGCAATATTCCAAATGAGAAAATATTTCAGCGAACTTGACCAACGTCTAAGAGAGACTGGTAGGGCGATTTCCAGTTAATAAGGTAACATTATTGACTTTTTTTAATAATTTTTAGAAAGTTTTGGGAAAACAAGTATTGATGCTGTGACAAGAACGGTGCAATTGGACATTTTCCCGGACACCCTGTATATCGCGATACATACTTTGCTTATTTACTATTATGAATTAGTTGTGTTTAGTTTCTGTTGTCATTGATTTATTTTACTGTAAATAAACGCTTTATACCGTGTGAAATAAATTTAAAGTTAGAAAAAGTGAAAATGAATGAAATTAAATTGCCAATTACCAATAACCTTTTCAGCTTATTTTTTTTTTTTTAATAAAAAGGATCGAAAATGTTACGGAATTGGTTTAGATCTTTTGTTTAAATACACAAATATGCATTAAGAGGATTTTTGATAGAACAATTCACCGGCATAAGTTGATTTATATAAATAAATATTATTAAAGCTTCTTTTTAATATATTCACTTAATTTTGACTCTCTTATGCTAGTTCGTTTATTAATTTAAACTCCAATTTAACCTAATTTTCCTGCGATTTTGGTTCTGCTTTTTTCTTACACGAAATGAATTAAACGGACATTTATCGCCTCGAAATATACATCCGCTGTTGTTGATGGGGCTTTTAAAACCACATTCCATAATAGAATTTACTTTATACCTAAGTGACTTCGAGTTACTCGTAAAGTACGTTACGTAAAGCTTTTGGGTCGCCTTCGACTTCGAATTAAATTCTAGGGCTCCGAACACTGTGTCTACATTTTTTCTGGCGTTATTGATTCGGTAGTTTTTGCTCAGACTGATGCTTATCGAACTTTTTATATTGAGTTGTTTTCGTGAATAAACATCCATCTATATAAGATGAAAAAAGTAGAACAAAACAAGGACATTTTCGAAGTACTAGATATTGGTATTTATTAAGATTCATTAATAACAGTCTTTTGCTTGAAATAATGCAGTAAATAGTAATATTTTAATGGAATTACGGATTCACCTTCCAACCAATCTTGTTTCCTTATACTTAGTATTAGTACAGATAACAAATATTCTAGATTGTTTAATTACCTTCTAAAAATATTACTATTTAAAAAACAAACATACCTATACAAAATATAAATTATATGTTACCAATCTGTAGCAATTTCGTTGCCTTTTTAATAGAAGATATTCTATTGAATGCCTATGCAAGTCTTTACCTGGAATTGTCTGATTTGGAAGACACATTTATAGTGATTAAAGCTCAATTTATTTAATGTATAAATTTGTTTTGTAATATCGTTCAATACACACCATTTACAAAGAATCGGGATGTCTGTGTGGCGCTATGAGTTACGAATAGGGGTTGCTCGGGCGTCAGTTTTAGGTAACACAGTTTGCTCTGCGATCCTGTAACACACCAGAGTGTTCTCAAAGTAAACTCAATGAAGTAAAAATAAAATTCCAGGCGGTCACTGCTAAAGGTAGCCACTAAATTAGGAAAAAAGCACTTATCTTCCTTATACCTTGTACCCTACGGTACCCTGAAAGAAAACGGTCAAGAGCCGGTAATAAAAGAAATACGGTGATAAATAACAAAATAAATATTTCCAAAAAAAGAAAAATAAAGGTTCAAAATACTAGAAATAGTTAAGCTGTACACAGAAAATAATTTTTTAACATAAGCTAAAGTTAATTTTCAAAAACAATTCTCCATATTGTCGTTGAGGACTATTTATTTGTCTGACTATCTGTTACGAGTTATACCAATTCCCTTATTATACAATACAAAATTTTATTGTATCATAGAATGCCGGGCTGTCATGTCACGTGGCAACGATAACGTCATCTGTCAACTCATATAATGATACCAGTTGTCCTATTTAGTTATAGTAGATGGTCAGATATCTATCATGTCACCTGTCAGTTGAATGTACCCCGGATATCTTTGTTTACGTAAACACAAGCCGTTGAAAGTTTGAGGTTATGTATAATTTTTTTATGGTCATAGCTGCATTCTTGACTGAATGACGAAAGTGTAAGTCAAAAAAACTAAAATTAAGTTAATTCTCTCATGTTGACGAGGAACAATAATATAATATTACTTAAAACACCGATCATTGGAGCGCCAGTCATAAACAACCGGCAGTGGTCTAAATTGGTGATCGAACTCGCATGGTAGAATATATGGATAAAATACATGAGTTGAATGATTGAGAAGGAGTAGGACATCCAAATGGTAGTAGAAGAAGCCATAGCTGCTGCACTGCCGCCACGCAAACCTTAGAGGAGGAAAAGAATAGATGAAACCTAAGCCTGGTTGAAGGGAGCCAATGACTGAACCCAGGCTTTGTTGGGTGAGTCTGCCCAAACCACTCAGTGGGAAGCAGAGGGATGTCTAAAAAGACGAAAAAAAATTTTTATAATTTAAATAAGTAAATAAGAACAAGTCATAGCTAAGTGATCTATTGGAGAAAATTATTTACCGCCATGAAGCGTTTTTTGCTGTAAAATATACTTTTCTAGAAATTTTAGCAAATAAAAAAGTTATGCAGCTATAAATAACAGCTTATACTTACAAAATTTTTGTTAACTTATAAATAATACCTTAAATTAAATGCCTTATGTACTGTTTGAATCGGAACAACGGAGATGCCTTTTAGGCAATGCAACTGCGCATGATTTTCTGCTTATCTTATGGCTACATGACGTCAAAAGCTTTGTTTACGAAGCTCTGTAGCTGTTAAGTTAGATGATCACAGGCTGAAGATTTGACAGATACCTATTATTTCCTAGTTCGTATCATTCCACTGACGCATTGGCCTCCTCCTTCAACAGCGCTTTTCTGGTTGACTATTAGCTATTTCTTCAGCTCCTCAGTACGGTATTGCCATCTGATTGTACGGTGTACGGTAAGTTAGGTTAGATGACTTTTTGACTGTTGAAATATTTTAATATTTTGACAGTTTAGATTATTTGCTGTTTTTGACAGGTTAAATTATGTAAATTTTAGAGCTATTGTAACGGCGCGGCAATTTCCCCCACTCTTCTCTTTCGACTTATGAGGTTAGATGCTTTTTTTTTATTGACAGTTAGGTTAGATGACATTTACTCATTGCGCTCGGTCTGCCAAGTTTCTTTAATTCCTTTAACACTTTTAACTCCAAACGACCCTTTTAGCGTTCGGTTTAGTCTGATTAGTGACAGTTCGACACGCTTAAATGTCATTTAAAAGTAACCTAAAAAACTCCGCTTCTGTCCTATTCCCGCCCTTGGCCAAACCGAACGCTACTGTTGTTATATCGATTTTTAACAGTTGACATTGTAAGTTTAGGTTAGGTTAGCCAACTTAGGAGCGACTATGAAGACTAGATATAGGAGCGACTGTCGCGTATGCGCAGTTTGAAATTTGTATCCTTGTGGCTTACTATTTGCTACTAACTTGATAAGTTATACATATATATTATAGTGGATAATTGTAATCTAAGATTCGCCAGTTTTTTGTATTTTATATCTATTACCTATAAAGATTAACCCATTCTTTTCGTTAATATAACAATGTCCACTTTGTAAATATTGAACCAAGTGCATAGGAAAACACTTTTATTATGTTTCTGCATCACAAGAATGCTTTAAACTAAAAAACTGAAATTTTGTTCGATAGGACGTTTCAGCTTATCAGGGCAGAGTAATGAACATGTAATGTGTTTTAAATAATTCCTATCTCTGTTTTTCTTTTGTTTCAGTAATCGTCTTATGTTTGCCAGCAGACGAGTTCGGCACAATAATCCTCAAAGTGTTGAACGATCTTGAACTCTACAATTTTAACACCATCACCGCTTTCATGGACATTTCCAACTTACCAGACTGGTTACATCTTTTCCAAAACGTTACGACACCACTGGAAGCTAGCAACGCAAGTTTAGAAAATATGAACAATTTTACCAAAAGAAACGCTCTAATTTTCGCGGAAAACTCAAGAGTTCAGTTAAGTTTAGAAACTTCAATAGTGCAACGGTTGCAATTAACGCTGTTTCAAAGTGATCGTTATTTTGAATTCGTTTTAGGCGATTTTACGAGCGACGAATTACTGCGACCGTTGATGGTGCTCTCGGGAAACAGTTCTAACGATTTTTTTATAGAAAAATTTCACAAAAATCTTGAAGAGTGGTCGATGAAACATAAACAAATCGAAGAGTGCGATGATTGCGGAAACAGTATCGACAAAGTTTTAAGTGTGATAGTAATTTTAGGATGTTCGTGCGTATTCGTTTCTCTGATTTTGGGTGTCGTTATTTTAGCGCGGAATCAATTGTTAAAGAAACGGGTATCAAAAGGTCCTTACAAAGTGTTGCTAACGGCGACCGATTTCGTATTCCCCCAAATCGCCGACAGCCGTAGGGTGAGTATAACAGTAGGTATTATTTTAGGTATAGGTGTCGTGTGTATATACGCATGGTTGTTTACTAAATGTTTCTAAATTTCTTTCCTTTCTTGAACGCGATCGTACGGAAGATTCCTGGGGCCACTTTTTTAATAGAAAAAAGAAATTGTTATCATTTTACATTTGCCAGTTGTTATCCCAGAATTTGTGCAAAAAGAACTAAAAATCTATTGGGAAAATATTTCTATTTTTTTTTAAAGTCACAATAAAGTCATAATAATTATTTTGTTTTTGCTAATTACTAAACAACAATAATACAGGGTACAACATAAATCTGATTCGCAACATTCTCTCACCTTGCAATTTTCACAAATACAATTTAAATTGCAATATGGCGCTGTAAAAATAAAACTATTTAAAGTTGCAAAGTATATATCGTAGGTTTTACTGTAATTATACCGCTACAAGTCTTTATTTGCATCAATTCGATCAGAATTTCCACACTGAATCGATGTTTGTTTGTTTTTATCAATAAGAGGCAACAGTAAGTCCCTCTCAAAAACACTGTTATCCATAGAAAATATTTCAAGTTGGTAAACTCTCTGAACTGATCTTAGAAGCTGGCCAGATTTAGTTTTAAGACAAACTAACCTTACTTTACCATCTGCACCATAAAGTAGTTCTGTTATACGAGCCAAAGGCCAATTTAAATGTTTAGTAAAGTCATTCCATATAAGAACTAACTCTTCTACCTTCAACTGTCTTACATTGATGTGGTTATTCCTTTGTCTTTTTCTCAAATTCTCAATTAGCCTCATGCGATAATTGGTTCTCCTAGAAAAATAAACCGCATCTACCTTATCACAGTCAGTTACACCAGTCTCTTTGATATACTGCATAAACATTGCTGGTGTCAATGGTTCTAAATCTTCCACGGTCTCTAACACGTACGAAATAGGACGGCTCTTAATAACAGCTTCGAAATCACATAAGATCGTACACAACTCCTCCATATCTAAAGACGCTTTTTCTAAAGTCCTACGCAGCAATTCTTTTAGCAACTTTACAAGTCTTTTCCACCAACCACCCCATCATGCGGCTGTGGCTGGGTTAAACTTTAATAATTTATTGTATTGCATTCTGTCCAAAAATTACGTTCCAATTCAGTTCGCATTGTTCGCCCCTAATAAATTCAAACCATTATCGCTAAAAATAATCTTTGGCCTACCCGTTCTAGCGATAAAACGTCTTAAGCCTTGAATAAAAACTTGTGTTGAAAGAGACGACAATAATTTCAAATGGACAGCTCTGTAAATGCCACAGATGTACAGTGCTACCCAAGTCTCCCGTCTTAAGATAAAATGATTCAGCAAGGTCTACTCCAACCACTTCAAGGGCTGCAGCGTCTCTAACTCTGTCTACGTCTACAGGAAGGGCAACATTCTTTTAGTGAAAAATCTTTAGAAAATCACACATTTGATACTACGACGAGCCTTCATAATCTAAAACCGTTCTCAAATTGTCTCAAAAGAATCTGTACACCCGCATGACAAGCTTTCTCGTATTTATATCTAATAAGTTTTTTAACCACAGGGTGTTTTCCTGAAAGGAGTATCGGATATCTAAAATCTAGAGTGTCTTTTCGCTGTGATACCTTTGTTCTTACCCTGATGACCCCTACATCGTCTATAACTGGATATATAAAATTAATAGTACTATCTGAAATACCACCTGGAAAAGACTCCATTTGAGCAATCTTAAATAATAAACTCTCATCATCTTTAACTTCCTCAATAGTTAAATCGCCACTGTGTTTGTCCACTGAGTTTCTACAGTTATGTATAAGCCGTTTCATCCAAGCTAACATCCTGACAACTTTAGAAAACTAACGTCAAGAAAAAGGCAAAGAAAGGCCAAAAAAAGGAAAAAAAGGCCAAAAAAGGTCAGAGAAGTTAGAAAAATGTTAAAAAGGTCAAAAAAGGTCAAAAAAGATCAAAAAAGGTCAAAAAGGGTCCAAAAAGATCAAAAAAGGTCAAAACAGAAGATCAAAAGAAAAGGTCCTTAAGTAAAATCAGATCCTCCTTCATCCAAAGATCCTCAAGCCAAGTCCCTCCCTTTTGTAGCGGTAGTACTGCTCCTTTTTTTTAATATGACTATTATTTTCTTCGCGGAACCCCCAAAAAGGCTTTGCGGAGCTCCAGGGCTCCGCGAGCCACACTTTGATTAAGGTTGATCCAGAGGATAGTAATCTTTCAGTACTACATCCTCTTGATAATAAGTCTAGTTCAGTGATCCTGGTACAGTGTTCCATTAACTTATACTAAAATATTTCTTTGTTTCTAACAAATACTGCCCATTGCTCTGGAGGTTTTAACCATTCTAAAACTGTTGACGAATCGGTCCAATAAAAACAAGATGCATTTTTAGAGATATTTACAGCCTCAATAGATCCCGCTATTCTTGATCCCACCGTAGCTACCATTAATTCTATTCGAGGAATAGTTACTTTCTTAAGTGGAGCTACTCTACATTTTGCCTGTAACAGCTGAACACAAACACCTTTATCCGTTTCAATCCGAAGATAAGATATTGCTGCATAAGATGACTAAAAATAATCACAAAAAGTATGGGTACTAAGTCTTCCACCGCCCTCCAAGATTAAACGTTAAGTATCTAGGGATTCTTATTTTAGATAAATATTGTAAATTTTGGAATCCATGGACCTTTTATTAAAAAAAAAAACATCTTAAGAACGAAATGGGTATTGACAATCCCCTTCCTTCAAAAATTCGCTGCCCTTACAATTTTGAGACAATTATTATAAAAAAAAATGGCTCCAGGCACAATCAAATTTAATTAATAATAAGTACATTTCTATCAACATTAAAATGATAAAAAGAACTTGTCATTTTTTACACACTTAGTAAAACGCTCCAATAACACACAACACACATGTACCTATTACAAGAGATTTTTTATGATATATTACATACAATTGGGGTAATGCGAGTTTTTACCCATGTGTCAATAAAATATATTAGAAATAAGTTATAAATGACATATGGCCCTCAATTCTTGACATTTTTTTCCATGGGAAAAAGATAATTATCCTATGGGAATTTATATTTTGTATTATCGTCACATCCACTAGGAATATTTTCTCATGAAAAGTTTGGGAGCAAATACACTTGGTATTTGGCATGGTAAATCAAATTTCCAATGGAAACTATTGGTAATGGATTTTACTGTATCAAAAATAATCTGTCACCAATGACATTTGCTATTTTCTTGTTACTTTAAATAATAATATTATTTATAATATACCTTCTTTTTTAAAATGGACGAAGGCAATTTTACTTCTCAAATTAAACCATATAGAAGAGGCACAAAGAAGAAAAAATAATGCCGCAAAATAAGAATCAAACATTGACATTATTTATTATCATTAACATGAAAGAAAAATGGAGGGAGGTAAAAGTGGTATTCATACTTAAACCTGGATGGATGTAAACACTGTCCCAAAAACATACCGACCAATTAGTCTGACATCGTTTTCCATAAAGACATTGGAAAGGCTATGCGAAAGGTACATAAGGGATGCGGTAATTAAAACAACACCACTACACCCGAACCAACATGCAAACACCCCAGGCAGATCTACTGATTCAGTCCTTCATCTAGTTGGTTGGCCAGATAGAGATATACCTGGTCAATAAGGAGTCCGCCTTGGGTGTTTTCATAGACATAGAAGGTACTTTCAATAAAACCACCTTCCCAAAGATAATACACTCACTAACCAATGTTCCACAGATGGTTAGTGGGTGAATACATAACGCTCTCAAAGCGAGTAGTAAACATAAGTGTAGAAGAAGTGACTATAAGAGGCTTAGTTGTGAGGGGATGTCCACAGGGAGAGGTGCTATCACCTCTATTGTGGAACATGGTCCTCGACACCCTCATCAGCCGCCTCAATAATGACAGAATAGCATATGCAGATGATCTGGTCATTCTGCAAACAGAGAATTTTGAGAAAATACTCTGTGAAAGAATGCAAGTAGCTCTAAAAATTATAGAACAGTGGTGCAAGGACCATTCACTGTCTATCAATCCTAAGAAGACAGAAATGGTCTTTTTCACAAGAAAAAGAATAAAAATGGAATTAAAATCTTCAGAATTTCTGAACACAAAACTAAATTTTGCAACAGAGGTGTGAAGTACCTAGGTCTCACCTTAGACAGCAAGTTAACATGGAACTCGCATTTAGAAAACAGAGTCAAAAGAGTTATACATAGTTTATGAACAATGCCGTCGAACCGTGGAGCGCACCTGGGGTTTCTACCCCAGAGTCGTCGCATGGACTTACACGGCTATCATACGACCTATGCTAACATACGGTGCAGTTGTCTGGGTGCCAAAAACCCAAAAATTAACAGCTATCCGTAAATTAGAACAAATTGAAAGAACATCACGTCTCAACAGGAGCTTTGAAAACAACACCGACCAGAGCCATGAAAGTCATTAAGGAGGTTGCTAAGATGACAATGACACGCCTTCGCACGTTTGGAATAGAACCTGATATAGGATCTGGTGAGGCGAGACGTCGCTTTTGGCAGAAGGCGCTTGATACGCTTCCACTGCTTCATGCGAACATGGACTCCATCTCCCCGAGATATATCTTCAATAAGCCATATAAAGTTATAACAAAACAAAGCTTAGGATGTGGAATATACTCCAGATTCTTAAACCTAAACATAAAATGAGCTGTGGGCAATAGTGCCAGTGTAATTCAAACAGAGCTAACGGGGATTCTCATAGCAGCAAAACAAATCGCCAGAAACAATATCACTGAATGGAACATGCTCATCTATACAGATATCAGATAAGCTTTGGCTGAAATATCCATCAACAATATGGTCACATTAAGATAGATCAAAGGTCACGCTACATCGAAAGGTAACCGTCTTGCTGATTCACTAGCCAAGAAAGTAGCTAACCAAATACTTTTTGGATTTGGCCCT